CGGAGCGATGGATTAACCTTTGGATGGCGTTGGCTTTGCTGTGCATGCAGGGAACTCCGTTCTCAGAGAAAAAATGGCGCGGCGGCCTGCAGCTTGACTGGGTAGGCTATTGGATTGATTATGGTCGCTTCAAGTTAGGGATTTCTGAGAAGAGGTGCCATTGGATCATTCGTGGCATTGAGGGCATGGAAGGGAAGGTAACGGATGGCTGGTGGACGTGAGACGCTTCCACGAGCTACATGGGAGGCTTGGGTTTATGTCCCAGGTTCTTGTCTGGATCCGTCCTTTCTTTGCGTCGAGATACGCTTGGCTCTCTGCTGTGCGCAAAGGCGCTGTTCTTTCTTTGCCGAACCTAGGGACCGGACCCGGGTAAGGCACCGTGGTTTCAGATCACTCTTGACAAGGAGGACGCCCCTTGGCTTTTCAGAGAAGGCCTCGGCAGCTCATGGGCGAGCACGTCGGCTGAGATGCTGGCGTCGTTGGCGGCTCTTCATTTCTTGAAACGTGATTTTCGAAACATCTGGGATGGGCCCGGTCTCTTCCAGGCCTGCTTCTGCGGGGGGACGGACAATAAGTCTGCGGATGCGCTTTCTTGCAAATTGCTTACTACTCGAGTTCCTTTGATGTTCGTTGTGATGGAGTTCGTGACTTTCTGCGATGGCCTCGGCTTCAGATGCAACTTGAGTTGGAGGCCGAGAGACTCCAATCAGGAGGCCGATCGCATCACGAAGCACAACTTCTCAGACTTTGATGGATCTCTGAGGATCCCTTTCAGTTGGTCCGACATGACCATGTCAGTTCTTTCTCCTCTCTTGAGGTTTGCAAACTTTCAGTCGGAGATTGATGATATCAGGACATCCACTTTGGAGGATGTCGGTTCGACCCCAAGGATCAGATTCGAGAAGAGCCAGTGGGGTTAGATGATCTCAGCGCGCATGGAGCCTTCTCCCGTCTTAGATGGGGGATTATGTTCTCTCGAAGACTCCATGTGCTTCGGACATTTGAATTCGAGCTTGGGCTGTGCGGACCAAAACGAAGGTGGCGTGTTTGCATCTTGCTGCTTCCCTATCCCTAACCCCACTCACTTAAGCCCCTTGGGCTTCGTGTCGTAGTTACTCCACGGTACAAGCCTAGTTTGGGGAGCGAAGCGGACCAAACAGTTTGTTCCGGGGAGTTCTTGGGTGGGGGGGGGATGTTGGGGGGCGCGTGCGAGCGCCACTTTGCTCCGCATGTTGTCAGCCTTTTCAGTCATGTCAGTTATCAGTCATGTGTGAAACATGAGACAATCCACGCATCATTTGCATGACAATTTTTAGAATGTTTTCCCTTTTATGATTTTCCGCTTTCTACCTTTTGCCTTAAGAAGCTTTTCAGTTTTCTTTGTCAGGATTTTCAGTGCTTGCACGTTTTCGCATATGAGAGTTTGCATTGCGAACATGCTGGCATGTCGAATGATTTATATTTCACCCGATACACGGTGGATCAATTGGGAGGGGACTGTTAGTCCTTTTAGTGTCCCACCCAACCCACCCTAATATTTCATTCGGTCTGTCAAACAGCCCAATGTGTTTGCACTTGGAGGGGGGATTATGTTCTCTCGAAGACTCCATGTGCTTCGGACATTTGAATTCGAGCTTGGGCTGTGCGGACCAAAACGAAGGTGGCGTTTTTGCATCTTGCTGCTTCCCTATCCCTAACCCCACTCACTTAAGCCCCTTGGGCTTCGTGTCGTAGTTACTCCACGGTACAAGAAAACATTCAGGTCCTGGAACTTGAGATTGGAGGTTTGCGGATGTTTACGGCTTAGGTTTTTTGCGGTGGACCACTGTAAGGCTTGCAGAGGTGCGGCCGAAACGATCTGTGGCATGGTGGGAGCTGGCGCAGCGTCATTGATATATGCGGGAACCAACACAGGGGGATCACGGAAAGAGCATTTGCCGCGGCCGGTGTAGAAGTTCAATTATTAGCTGGCTTCTGCAACAAGAAAGCACGGTGACGTTGGTATTGCTGTTGTTGTGCAGCTGTTTGCCTCTATTACTAAGCCGGAGGGTGGTTTGGCCTCCCAAAAGCCGCTATAGAGGCTTTCTCCATTTGCACTTGAAGCACGACGTCTCAATAAGTCCATGCCAGCATGCTTGCTCTTTCCGCCGCTAGCCATTTGGAGAGATCCTAAAAGCATTTGGTTTCAGAACCACTCCGTTGCGAGCATGGCTCTTCGCGGCCAGCCCGGAGCCTGGTCGAAGCAGGGAGGGTTGGCTGACTTGGTTCAGGGATGTCAGGGCGTCACCACACTGCCATGCTGAGGGTGACGCCCTTCGGGCCATACGGTGGCCTGACCTGGGACTTCCTGCGCCGGGACCGCGATGAGCGATATGCGGGTTGGGAGAAGAGGGGAAGAGAAGTCTCATGTCATCCTAAACCCTAAACCCTAAA